TATTATGTTAAGCCCTACAGTAGATGATGGTGGCATGGAGTTAGAGAGCAAAAGGATACTAAAGCTGCGATCGTTGATCTCCAGGTTCCACAGGTTGATGCGCAGGTCATCTGCAGACAGGTATGTCTCACAATCACTGTTGACCGAGATGGAGTTGATATGGTAGGTGTGAGCATTCGAAAACACTCGTCTAGGGCTGGCCTCCACCATCAGGTCCATGGGCCTGAATACTGGCACCTGAGAGAAAGTGGGGTTAGCATCACTTTAATTTAAAAGGAAAGTGTGGTGTGATCATTTTGTCATCCGTTTTTATAAATCACATTTTTGACTGGTTGTGTGGGGGGTAAAAAAGGGTTTCACTAAACTGACAAACAGTGTCTTTTTAAACAAAGATAAATAGGGGATAGCCTCTGTGTAACACACCAGACTGTTAGACTGAGTCTATATTTGGAAACTATTCAATATATATAGATCCGTGTGTCCCAAAGGGGAGGATGAACATGACAAGGGGGGAAAATGTGGAATGAAACTTTGACTGCAACCTCAGGTGTAGTTATAAACATGATTGCTGGATGTCTGTCTGCAATAATGTCTGCCCATTAAAACACGATAAATTCTAACAATTTATAGCACATACATGTTAAACATTGTTGGAAATGATAAATGATTTCATACACACCCGTAGTGTTGTGACAGTATTAAGATCTCTGTATCGCCCATCCTCTTCCTTCAGATTGTAGCCCTCTGGTCTCTTGTCACGCTCACTAATTTTCCACAGCTTTATGGTTTTGTCTGCGAATAAGAACGAGCATACATCATGAAAAGCTCATCTTCAGTAACAGAATAATACAGACGGAAAGGTTTCATTTTCAAATGAGAAATATCACCAACTCAGAATACACTGGGTTACTAACCGTTTGTAGACAACAGGAACTGTGCTGCATTCTTCTGAGGCAGCCATCGGATCTTGTTGATCTTCTCCTCGATCTCAAGGCTTTTCAGGTAGTCGAACTCAGGCTCATGGCTCTGGAAGGTGCTGTAAACATTGTATTCTCCTCTGCACTGCGGCTGATTCTTACTCTGAACAAAGACATATCAGAAAGAAGTTTAGGTATTATTTTACTAGAAATAGATCAAAAGACAGCATTTCAGGTCATGTATGATCCGAAGCACCAGCGTTTTCTTTTTAATTTCACAGGCAATCATTAGCTTAAATTCTGAGTTCAGTTCAATTGAAAAACAGCTTGACTAAACTATGGATATATCAGATTAGAAAAATAAAGGTTGCACCATTTTATACTAAGATCAGTCTAATGAGTCACCAAAACGTACCTCTGGCTCTTGCTGAAAAATGACAACACGTCCTCCTTTGTCCCCAGTGGCTAGCAACTCGCCAGAGTGGTTGAATTCAACAGTAGATATGATGTCAGCTGTAAATAAAGTAGTGTGATTAGAAAATTAAATGTGTGTGTACAATATTTTTGATGCAGGTATGCAGAATTTTGGGGTTTACCATTTTTTACAATAGTGTACAAAATGTTTCGAGGAGTAATACAAATACTGTACAGTGACATGGTGAAAACACAACAGAGTAGTGACGTACATGTATTTATGCACAGTACAGGGTGCTAGTGCAATCATGGGGCTACTGAGCACTCTGGAGGGTAAAACATCTTGCCCTTTGCAGCTATTCTGCACTTTTCAAAGACAAGCATTCTCATCAAATGCTACAATACAACAATCAATCCCTGTTTACAGGCTGGCACTGTTCTGAGCTTGTGCAATCCTTAATATAGACTATGGTGTTGTTCCACTCTAAACCCAGCGCACATAGTGCCTGATACGATCTGACCCCATACAAACTCTCATACAAAGCAAAAGAGGACAGCGTATTAAAGACTACTATTTCTGTAAAAGCTACACCTATTATAGTTAAGTATTCAGCCTGTGTACTGCCATGTATTGACACAAGCAATGGCTAACGTCAAAACTTATGCGACAAAGCTTACTGTAAACAACTGTGTAGTCATTTACACACAAATAGGTACATCATGTACTGTAAACATAGGTGTTAAAAGCACTTGGACAGTGGGAAAAGAGGTGGGACAATCTAGCATTTTTTTCCCTTTCATATACGAAGTAAAAGGTCCAGCATACATATGGAAATGTCCTACTTAGCACAATAGTTGTGCACTTTATTATCCTCATCTACTTTGTTAGTTTGATCTATTGTGGTGCAATAACTAGTTTATCCAGATCAAATAAAGATAAGGATAATCACAGATATAATACCTAACCTCTTTTGTAGTGTGAACTACTATATGAATGAAAATGGTTTAATGAAAATGAAATGTTCCTGAAAAGGATTATCTTAAGGAACCAGCACAAAGTTTGTAAAGCATATTGTTATGCTTTGAGTACCACAAATGAATTTACATTCGCTCCAATTAGGATTGCAGTAATAGTCAAACAATATAAGAGCATCTGCATGGCTAGATTTTGTTTTGTTTTATGTTGACTTGGCCAATCAGACCCTTTGGAAAAGCAGGACTTTAATGCACTCTGAGAGACATATTTGAGGTTAACTGATTTCTCAACCAAATAAACGTACTTATATATTTAGTTCCTCATTACGATTACGAGGTGCCCTTCTCCCGCAGAAGTAAAAACTTTAAATCTATTCCATTATGATGTGTATTTCCCTCCCAATAATTCCAAATTAGCATCACAGGCACTGGACAAATCCACTGTGGGGAGTTTAAAAGTTGTGACTTCTGACATTTTGCAGCAAATATTTGTCTAGTCTGCCAGTTTAACCAGTTGTCTGGCCCACAGGAAAATCAGCAGGGAAGTGCCACAATAATGAACATTCAGTGAAAACAGGTTAATTCTCTTAATTTGTAATTATCATATAACTTTTATGAAAAGCTAAAACAAAATGTGTGGCAGTAGCATTAAAGCTTACTTCAAAACAAGCATGCACAGGATGCCAATCAGACAGTGCATGTTAGCAAATGTTCAGTGGACCAGCACATGGACTTACCTTCAGCAACATCATCATCTATCGCTCCTTTGACTTGTGAAAAGCACCATTGCACATCACTGTTCCCACCGCCGGCCCCTGCACGAAACACAGACCCAAGTTTTAACAAACCACCAGCAAAGACAACTTTACACGCGTTAGCATGGTGCTGCTAACTTAGCTAAAATCAGTAAAATGAGTACATAGACGCTGCTACTTTATTCTTATTGCATTATTTAAGCAATGTAACATATTCACATGCAACAGGAAATCGTTTAGGCATGTTTAGCATTCGAAAACTCTTACTTTCACACTGTCATTAGCACACACTAGCATCTTGTAGGTATCCTAGCTTGCTAACTAGCCTGCGCTAGTTAACCACAACAGAGACAAACCCATCATCTGTGCAGAACAGGATATTAAGTGCAGAAAAATGATTAAACCTCAGCCACTCTGGCAGTGTTTTCTCGGTAGTCTTACCTGCCATGGTGAGAGACTCAGACAGGGTGTCTCTGTATCGGGCCCTGGACCGGAGCTGACCCGGGTCGGCTGCTGGTTCTGACAGAGGAGCAGTGCAGGAATACACCGGGGAGTGCTGCTATTAAATCCGAACACCGTCCAAGTCGTCAGCTCGGATGATATAGACAGCAGGACGCTGTTTTTTAATTAAATAAAAATAACTGCAAATCCTCAGAAGTGAATTTTAGACTTTGCACTCTACTTTGAGATTTCCCTCGCCTCTGCCTCTCCCAGTATTACTTTCAAAATGGCGCAACGCGGGCGGCGTTCAGCAGGCGTCAAACAGAGAGCGGTGAGACTGCACCGTGACATTTTAATCTTCATTACTCCTGGTCCGTCGTGGATATGGGTCTTTTTGCTGTCCCCAGAGAGCAGGTTAATTGATTTATTGAACGTTTAATCTTCAATTCAAAGTTATTTGGACTTTTTTTCTACCAGAAAACCATGTTATAACGTAGCCCCGCCCATGTGGGTTGTATCGGGGAAGGAAATCGAACAAACCCACACACTCAGGGTTAGTTTTTGGTTCTGAGCAAAAACGAAGCAAACTTTAGTTTAATTTAGAAAATAAAAGGCCTAGGCCTACATACTTTTAATATGCAAGAGATATATCTAAAGATAATTCAATTATTCATCTAAATATGTATAGTAGTTGTGTAAATTATGTATTACATGTTTGGGACGCTACTCCTGACACATAATTAAAATATTAAAATCTGTGTTGGCACCATAGGCTAAAAGTATTTACCACCTGCAACTTCCACTGAGCTTCCAAAGGATCTGCCATATTGTCTTTCGTCTGCTGGACAGATAGCTGTTTTGAAGGATTTCAATCTATTTTAATGACAAATTAACTGCCATGCAAACTACAGATTAGTCACATTTACCTGCACTGGGAACCCAGGGCACCTATTTTAGGGAGGACCCTAATACAAGTAGGCTTTGTCACAACCAGACATTTTGTGTTGTCATAGTTAGTGAATCTCAGCGGTCACTAAATGTTCAATTTAAATGTCCCAACAAGCCATGACAGTGTGACAATGAAGCAGTGCACACAATATCAAAAATCTGAAGAAGCTAAATGTAAATCAGCCAATATTAAATGTATTATTTACACCTGTGCTTCTCCCACTGTGACATGTAAAACAGTCTTCCATGTGTTTGAAGAAGGACTATTGACTCATCCCTCTCCCAATTCCATTTTGATATTTTTATTTAAGATGTATTATTATTTTTGGCACTTTCTTTTGCCTTTTATAGGACAGTGTAAGCAGAAAGGTGACGAAACAAGGGGGAAAGATTACAAACTGTGACATTTCAGCATGGTTGGTATTTTAACCCTTAGCCAAGGGACTTATTATGCGTGATATAAATTAAACATGATAAAGGCCATCACATTCCAATTTAACTTACAGGACAGGATGTCAAGATGGGTAATAAAGCAGGCCAAACATTCAAATTTATATTGTAATTTGGTCGAGTATTTAATATTTCAATTCTTTACCAATTTATTAAAGAATAGTGTGCAATACAATCTTCCGACGCTCTGGGAGCATGGCCTCGGGGCAGCTCTCCACTTTGCCTTTCTGGTGATTCAACACCAAGGAACAGCTTTTTTTGTCACAATAACAGCCGACGTCCCACTGCTTTTATATCTTATTAACATAAAACGTTTTTGACAAATTGTACATGTGCTTCCACAAGGAAAAATACAGATTTCAAGATTTTATCTACAAGAATACACAATACTGTTTGTTGTGTGCTACACAACCATACAATACTGTTTTATAGCTTCACTGTGGTCATTTTGCAACACAGCAGATATAACAATTTCTAATTTGCACATGTAAGCATTGTGAACAAACACATTTGATGCAAGTTGGCATGGTTAACATGGGTATCATTCAATCTAAGTGCCTGTAAAACCCTGTTTGGATTATTTTTTAAAACCTAACACTGTAGCTGTGAGCACTAATGCAGAGTGTTAATCAAAAGGAGAAGCAAACATGATCACTCCAGTTGTTATTGTTGAGTGTGGGAGACATTAATAATTGATAGGAACTGCATAGACCACAAATCCAGAGCAGGTCTGCCTGATCAACTTCATTAATGAGCTCTAAGTCTGTGAACAGGCTCATTCGTCAACAGTCACTCTCTTTTCATTTCCCCAACATAAAATAAGTGGTCCATCTGGCAAGGAGCAGAGCACCAAACAGCACCGTGTAGCTGAAGAGAACAAATTTGAGGACTTCCTTGAACGTCCGGAGGAAGCGGATAAACAACGGGTCCACATCCAGAGGGTCCTGCTGCATCTTCTGCCTGCGACAAGGTTGAGCCAGCTGTCCCATGTTCTCACCTCCACCCATCCTGCAAACACACACCTTTTTAATTTGAATTTCACAATAGAATACAAAAGTAGAAAACAACTGTAATGTGAACAAGGTGGTCGTTCACTGCACTAACACTCAGGGTAATATAATAAAATAAGACAAAGAACATAAGATCAAATAAATGACTTATATGTTCCTTAATCCTATACTTACTTAAGCAGTAACAAGTGACATACAGAACCATTTTGAAGTACTTAACTTGAGGTATTTCCATTTTATATGACTTTATACTTTACTACAGAGACAAATAATTAAAATTAACCTCATAATACATATTTTTCTGAAATGGGCCTTTGTGCAGAGGAAATACTTTTCCTTTGGTACTTTATATATATTTTATTTTCCTATACTTATTAATAGTATATAATTATAAATAGAGCTATACTATAAATAGTACTTTGAGTCACTTGTAACAGAGTATATCTACACTGTGGTATTACTACTTTAACTTATGTAAAATATTTGAGTACCTCTCGATGTAAGTACATTCTCTTTAGTGCTTTATGTATTATTTAAGGTTTATTTATATCAGAAGTGCAAATCGATTTATTTCTAGCCTTTTTAGAAGCTGAAGAGGCTTTATTGTCAAAAGAACACTATTAATAATTTATCTGTGAATTGCACTAAATTGGTTCAATATTGATCCACTTTCTTTGTGTATAGTCACAAAGACTACAGATTGTATATGTATGTGCATGTTCTAAAACGTGTGTACTGTGTGTACTATATTACCTGTATAAAAACGCATGTGTGTGTACGACAGAGTGGAAACTGAATTTCCCCCTCGGGGGATTAATAAAGGTCCATCTTCTTCTTCTTCTTCTTGTTCTCCAGCATTGATGTTAGACAGACATGCAGCAACACGACTTTAAGACCTAAGAATGTTTTTCGTTTAGATAACTTATGATATTGATCGTTACTTTAATTGCTGTTTTTCCTTAATTTTTGTTTTAATTGACATATCCATGTATACTTTTGTTCTTTGATTTTAGTTGTTTCTCCATTAATTGTATGAACCTTAGCTCGGATTAAAATGACGGTTCTCCCTCAATGTATGATTGTATAGAATAAATATTAAAAAAGATAGAAAAAGCAGCTTGCTGTGTAAAACAAATACATACATTTTGTCTTTCAAGTATTTTTCGTCTGGCTACAAAAGTTACAGCAAAGCTGATGTGAGCCATGAGGGAGTCAGAAAAAATATCATACTCAACACAATCCTACTGGTATTAATATAGAGTTAATCTTGTAAATACACTACAATGTCCTAAATGTGTTTAACATATTTAAACTAAATTAAACAAAAAACTCAATGAAGGAACAACTCACAAGCAAGATCAAGATATAATTTATATAGTAAAAATGAAAACTTAAACCAATCATACCTCGGTGCCGTTGGAGCGGGTCTGGAGAAGATCGAAAGTAGCTCCTCTGCTTCCAGTCCTGAAGTCCAAGTTGGTGTGTTGTGCTTTGGGCGTTTCAAGCCCCTATGGCAGAGGAGGAGCCAAAAGCAATGACTGATCACAGATCTGAATCCCCTGGGATTGATCTAATGGGAGTTTAAGTCTTCAGTGCACCTGCTCCTCAAACAAAGGGATTTCAGTGTCAGATATGTAACCCTCAAGCTTGCAATTAACATAATTAAGTATCTTCTGATCCATTGATTCAAGGCACAAGATTTCCAGCTAATCAACATGGAAATGAACATAAACGTACCCAAGAACAGGTCACCAAAATATCTGAGAGCTGTCAGCAGGTCTCCCTATGCTCACAGTGTATAAGGCACGGAGAGGGTATTGACTGAAACAGAGATCAAACACCCTCCTGTAGCACAGTAACCCTCTACCGGAACACGGAGCAAATGGCCTCCTAATTCAATCAGTGTCCTGCGCTGTCAAATCATGTGCGACCGTGGACTGAGCTCTCCAGACAGCACATGGCCATTATCGGCTGATAGGAGGCCTGTTAGTGAGCTAATTGCTCCTTCAGAGAGCCGGACCGCCGCTGATGGATACACTCCCATCTCTGCCTTTTATCTCCCTGATCAGCTTGCCTTTCTGGAAATTATCAAGTAAAACAATAAGCAAAACATGACAATGTAATCCAAATTTGATTTCAGTTAGTTAAGACTTTATTTGTATGCCTTACAAAAGCCTTCCAAAAATTCAAGAAGTGCATCTTTATCATCTTATACATGACATCTCAAACATCCCAACTATTTTTATCATACGTACATATTTACAGTAGCTTCATAGTAAAGCAGGACAAGAAGCCAGAGGACAAAGGGATTCATGAGAGTAGCATTAAACCACTTTTATATTATATTACCTGGGACTGCAAACATTTTAAAGATACCCTGTAAAGTTTATACGCCTGGTGGAGCAATTATTTTACAGGTTGGTCAACAATTTGTTTTTATCCTCACATGCATGAGGCAGTAAATGTTTTCACACGATTCCAATGGTTTTCAATTGCTGGCAGTACTGGACAAAAAAGCACCAGTAAAGGCACTCATGAAAGCATGCAAATAACACACTTTAATAAATCAGCTTTGCAAATATCCTGAAAAAAAGGAAATGCATTTATCATGTTTGTCAGGCTGCAAGGATAAACACATTTTGGTCTGTTACACCAAGTGAAGAAAATACATCTCCACAGGGCACCTTTAAAGAGCCTAATGTTGGATACACATCAATGAAACACCTGCAGTAGACGGATATAGACATAAAAAACAGCAGCTGAGGTTTTCTGATGGATGGGTGTTTGATGTGGCCAGGTGTGCACGCAGGTGACTCAGGAGGTCTGGGCCTCGGGCCGGTCCATGAGGGATTTGATCCATGTTGTACCGTTTAGGAGTTTCGTGGTGGCTATAATATACTCCATCCCGCTGTCTTCCATTTGAGAGAGGAAACGAAGAGCGGCTATTTCTGCATACGACACTCCTCCGAGGAAGAACACCAGCGTGGTTCGATTCTCCCCCTGCTGACCTGCGGAAGTAAACAAGATGCATGTCACTCACTACGAAAATATAACAGCTAACGAGAATTTAAGCGTCACGAAAGACATTTCTGTGTGTTTTAGTCCTTGGCAGTATCTTTTCTTTTTTTTCATACCTTCATGACATTTGCCAGAGTATATTGTATGCTATGGTTTTCTTCAGTTTTACAATAAGATTAATTTATAAAATTTTTGCCATCGCTCACTTTAAACAAACACAACTAAAAACCCTTTCTTCCAAAACACCATATTTGGACATTGTCATTGACATGAATTAAATAATAAATACGTCATCCTTCCCTTAGATTTTAGTCCTCCATTATCACCTTTTAAAATCCAATGTAGCGCAGGCCTGTAGAAACAAGTCAACGGTCTAAATGCCCAGACTTGCATTTCTAATTAGCACATTTCAAATTCAGTTTATAATTAAATTCATTATTCCCTTCAGTGTAACACCTCTTATTGCCAATGTGAAAACATGGAGGAAAACTGAAGGAAAGCACTGGCGGTGGTCACTGACAAATGAAGCACAGCATGTTTTTTATCAAGCCTTCTCTTCAACAGACACTGACAGTGGCTCTGTGGTATTGTCAGCTTTGTGCCATCAATCTCCTGCCGTTCAGCGTTTGACTCCACAGAAACAAAGCCTGTGTCTTATCTACATGCAGCAGGCAGGAGGACGTTTACTTGTACTCTGTTTAGCGAGCAAACAGTTTGTTCGGTCCTTACGTTTCTTGTGCAGCCCGGCGGGCAGCTGCTGTCTCTCCTCAAAGTGCGGGCCTGGAAGCATCTTCAGCACCTCTTCGATGCTGCGCCACCCGGGCCTGGCTAACACCTGGGTCAGTCGGATGCTTAGTGGAGCGTAGCCACTGTACACGTAGGAGATGTCGTTGGGGTTCTGAGGAATACAAAAAATAAAAAAGGTCAGAGAGGTTAAGATCCTCCTTAAAGACTGATGGGTTAAATCATGTATCGTTATTTCTTCATTTAATACGTCTTGTACCTGTTCATTGGCGTCCTCCATCCACAGTTTTAGGGTTTTTCTTATAGTGGGGTAGTTGTTCCTTGAGTTCGACTGAAGCTTCAAAAGACCCGCCTTCTCTAGGTTGTTCAGTGTCAGTATGTGTTCATAACCATAGGTCTTTATGGAAAACAAAATAAAGACATTATTTAAAATATAAAATACAATTGATATACTATCGATATTGCATTTTGATACTAGATATAGTCTTTTCCTTGTTTCAAAGGCTGCACTACAATAAATTGCTTTTAATATCATTTAATAAGTCAACATTAATAAGGATTTATTCAGACAAATAATAATATTCGATAGTAATAAATTGTAATATTAGATTTTCTTCTTGAGTTCACTAGACGAGTATTTTCTTTGTTGATGATGAAAGACTGTACAGTATGGGCACAAAAAAGACCAAAATCTAATCTTTCTGTGACTCTACCTGCAGGATCTCCCTCCTGTAGTAGTCGAACACTTTCTGCTTGAGGCCGTTGTTGCAGACCGACTGCATGGAAACCAGGCGCAGAATCTTGATCAGTGGATCCTTTTGGGCAATGCTGTCTTCTATATACGTGTTCACCTGGACATACAAATAATATTCATCAGAACTATAGGGCACCAATAGATTAGGTATAACATAATGCAAACATTTCTAATTTGAAAAAAATCACTAAATACAAAAAATACTGATGTGAGACTTAAATAACAATATGAAGTAAGATTAAAAATACCTTGTCCGTTTCTACTCCAGTCATAAACTCCTGCTCAACTGTCAGATTGTCGAAGAAGGCCTCAGATGCTGGAAGAAGAGACATTAATTAGCTTTTTATCACATTATAAGCTTAAAGGTCCCATGACATGGCCATTTCTACTGATCATAATTCCATTGTCGAGGTCTACTAGAATAGATTTACATTGTTCAATGTTCTAAAATCACATTGGTTTCTCATACAGCATCTCTGTATAGTATGTGTATTCACTCTCTGTCCTACACGGCTTGTTGGAGCTCCTGCCCCCACCCTCCCTGTGAGCCCACTGTGCTCTGATTGGTCAGCTCACCCACTCTGTTCTGATGAGTCCACCACCGTTACAGTGGAACATCAGTGACAGTGATTTTGTGTTACAATGGCGTTTGTTAGCAACCAGAAAATGACACCAGTAATGACAAACAGATGAGAATGCTGCGTGGGGTCTGGGTGCCGTGTTGGCGACGTTGCGCGGCTCGCTACTGCGAGGAGCGGACAGTGTGAGCTGGGTTCATTTCCTGCTTGCTGCGTGGGATCTGCGAGACAGCGAGACATCGCGAATGGACGCGGGACGGGTGCTGAGGGTGCTGTAGCACCCCCATCTGCGAGGCTCCACCAGCACCCCCCCCCCAAGCGCGTCACAGTTTCACCGCTGAGAGAGTGTCTGTGTGTGTGTGTGTGTGTGTGTGAGGAGCTCCACGGATTGGTCCATTTGGACCAATGGGTCCATTTGGGTATGGTCACGTCACTGTACCCAGGAAGAAAAAGAGAAATCTCCAACGAGGCGTTTTGGGGCAGCATAGACAGGTATTTTCTGTGTTAGAGTTTTACTCGCTACAGGGTGTACTTTGAGGGTTTGTGACTTTGCAGACCGTTTACATAAAAACCTTCATAACACACAAGGGGACGGGTAATAACCGGAAAAGCATGACATGGGACCTTTAAACATGTGATGCTGTAAGAGCACAGAAATATGGGATTATAAACCAACTATTAAAACCAGGTTTATTAATTATATTCAAAACCAAAACATTTGATTATGTATAATAAAAATGCGTGTTGGTTTTCCCAAACTAACAGCTGTAATTTGTCTTTATGAAAATATAGTGCCATTACAAAATGCACCCAGAATAAAATGTAAGGCAGCTAAAGGGGGAAGAAAGGACTTATTACGCACTGGTGATGTCCTTGATCAGCTCGGCTACAGAAGTGTGGTTAGCCAGCGAGCTTCGAGCTGCCTGCATGTGAGGTAGCTGAGACACAAACTGCTTGATTTCTCCCACTGTTTTAGCATTATGACGCTCCTGAAAGACAAAAAAAAAAATGTTACTTGATTAACTTTTAACATGTTTAGAAACAGCATTTAAATGATGGAAACCAATTTATGTACCACAAAAAGACACCGCTACACCAAAAATGTTTAAATGAAGAATGATGTAACAAGTTTAGAGGGCTAATTTTAGACAGTTTGACCCATCTTCAGTTTGTTTCTATGAAATACAGCTCCCACACAGCACACAATAACCAATTTTTGTTGACATTTCCTTCAGGATTAACAATGATTACACAAACAGAGTAAATTACATTTGTGAAAACATTTCTAATTGTAAGATTATTTTGTCTACATTGCTTTCCTGGATTATAACCTCTGATGTTACGCTATTTTGCTTATCAACTCTCTCCACTAATGTGGTTTGTGTTGCAATCAATATACCTGAGCCGATTAGAGAATAGTATTTCAATTTGGCCTCGTTAAGCCTTCTGCTGGAACAATTAGCACTTCACCTTATCTCTTAGTGATCGTCATCACTTCCCTAACCTCATGGATTTCCGTTATGACTTTAGAGGGTGAAATGCCACAAGGATTTAAATTAAATTAAATTAGCATGCAAATGAGTGTGTAACTACATTTCTTTAAACATTTTTGCATGACACAAAATTACACTATCATCATATTGCAACAAAGATGAGGCAAAACCAACCTCAAAGGCTGCTGAAATTATTTTGGCCTTCTTGCTGAGCGCTGCTCCGACCGCATTGAAGTTTTTGTCACGTATTTCTGCGTACAGCTCCTCTGCTGAGTTTAGCTGTAGCTTCTTGGGCTCTGTGGGTAAATCTTTACTCGCCTCTCCTTGCTTCTTCTGAGCAAACTTCTCAGGAGGCAACTTGACATAACCTGTGAGTCAGAGGGAGAAAAAAAGGCTGGTGATTAAAATAGAAAAAGAAACAGACATCCAATAAACACACAGTGTGACGTAACTGTAAGAGTGCATTTACTTCAGACTGTTTATTAATTCAACTTTATTTATAATGCAGATCATTTAGGGCACAACAACAACAACAACAATGAAACATAGTAATTTACAAAGACTAAGAAAAGGAAAAACAAATCAGAAAAATGTACTAACAGAGAAGAGGCAATCTTTTGATATTAATTAAAATATTCAGAATGAGGAAATTACATTTGATAGATGAGTTAGAATAATTAAGTTGTGAAAAATGAAATACAGTTACATAAAAAGCCCAAGAATATAGCAATTATGGTAGACAATTATATAGATACACAAAATGTTTTAGTGTAAGAAAATAATACAGAAAGCAGCATACAGTTAACAGTTTTACAGTAAAAAGACATGTGGATATCGGTAGGTTTAAGATCAAATTTCTAATTTCCAAAAGTTCAAAGTATTCTGGTGCACTAACATTTACAGCAGTTTTTTCCACACATAATGATGAAAGAGTCAATAAAGGTGTTTTCTGACCGTTAGTGATTCCATAGACCTCGTCGATGAGACCCTCGTATGTGAGCTGCGTGGCCAGAGGAGTGAGCAGGTCCACGTTACGGTCCAGGAGGAGCAGAGTGTCGAACACGGGCAGGATCTGATTCTGACTGCCGGCAAACTCCCTCTTCATCCTCAGCATCATGTTGGCAACATGCTGAAAACAAGCACAACATTTCTTCTGTCAAACTCAATTCACTCACCAGGATGCTAACAAGCCTGTGCAGTTAGCAGTGTCCGAATAATATTAATCATCATTTTGGTTATTATTATTTAATGTTATTTTGGTGAGTGTTATTGTTTTGGTCTTATTTCTTAGTTTTTCATATGGTGTTTAATTGTGACTTTTTTTATAGTAAAAGTAAGGTTTTGATTTCCTACTGTATATCTTTTTTATAGCATTTTTTTTAATATTTTTTTTTACAGTGGATATCAAAAGTATTTACAAAAATAAAAGTATTTTTACAACAACCAAAAAGAAAAAGGACAAGAAAATATACAAGATGAGGAGAGAAAAAAGTATATTGTGCCATTTTATCATTTTGAATTGTTCTATTGTTGTGGTTGTCTGGCCAAGCTGGTGTAAAGAAAATTGAATGCTGAAAATGAGGCCAGGATTTATTGAAGGGGAATATATTTGATTATATGTTGTGTGTCCCGGCAAAGATAAACAATCAAATATGATCAAAAATATTCCTCCTAATACCGCACTCACCCTTGCACATTCTCCTTTCCCGTATATCTGTGGAATGGTGCCATACAGGGCCTGTAAGGTCATGAGGCCTTTGGCGGTGTGGTAGAGGCTGGTTTGGTCATTTTCTAAGTAGCACTCCTGTCAGAAAAAGAGGGAGTACAAACACAGTTAGAAATAAATCACAGCTAGGATGCAAAATAATACTTTTTTGTCCACAGGTAAAATGGCTTATGAATGTTAAAATTCAAAAGAATACATATTTGTTTTTGGTTCTGCAGATTACAATTGCCATGTTTTCCCATGGATAAAGTATAATAATGTTAATGTGTTGAAAACATGCGTTAAGTGCTTCTTGATTTTAAATATAATCCTTACTACACAAATCAAATAAATACTTAATGTGTAAAGCATATTTATATATTATTATTATATATATATATATATATATATATATATTCATTTTGGGATGAACAAATTGAACACACCCTGAAAGCACTCTCATACTCCATGGAGAGCAGATCTCCATCATAGGGGATCAGGTCCAGGATGTACTCGTCGATGTTGATGAAGGAGGCCAACACGCCCTGCTCCTTCAGCCGCTGTTCACACAGCATGCTCCGCCGAGGAACAAACAAAATATGGAAGTCTCGTGGGGAATGCATCTTGTCCTCACTGAAAGCACATAATCCAGGAAAAAAGTGTTAAAAACTGTGGACATATAAGACTGTCTTGATCATGGTTTGAAATGTGGGTTTTTGAGACAGAAACTGACCTGATGATATTCTCAGCGATGATGTCCATGAGCTCCAGTCTGGGACGAACAAAGAAGATGATATTCTTGACGTCAGCAGCGGGGAGTCTGCCACTCTTGAGGGTGAACATCTTTTCAACTTCATGTTCCTGGAAAACCCAGTAATAAGCATATAACATGTGTATACTATCTGAAAACTTCAGATTCATGACCTGTGACTTGTGTGTGGGCTACTTAACAATAACAAATGCAGTGCACAGAGATCACTTACCTTCAGTAGAGAGTATTGAGCTATCAGTCCAAAAGGTCCCGTCAGATATTCATCCCAAACTATGGCCTGAAGTGCAAGAGCACATACAGTAATGTATACAAGTAGAAAGATCTGAAAAAACATCTCTATGCGGAAATGTTTGTGGTCATTGTCTCCTATGAAGCTACTGGTTACAATAATAAATAGATACATTGTCAGTCTATTCACAATCAAAACATGACTTCAGTTTTATAGAAATTGCAAGTATTTTGAATTATGTGCCGAGCATCGACAGCCCCAAGAGGCTAGCTTAACTGTCAGCTTCGTGGATATGCACAACTGTCACTTTTTCGGCCATTTTACATTTATAAGTGTGATTTCCTTACCTTACTTCCCGCACATTTGTCCAAAAACTCTCGAAGCTCTTTTCGTGCAGCTTCTCTCAAGATGTTTAAATTGACTCTACCGTACGATAGGTGGGCAGCCATGTTTCTTTATCATATACACAACAAATCATGTGATCACAGCGGTGAAACTCGATCACGTGACCAAAGAAGATACAATGTCAAGATAGTTCACACCAGCGCCGCTGATTTACACCATTCGAGAAAGCCCAAAAGCCACCCAGCATGTGTATACCTCCTATCGAGCAGTATATCTAGATGTAAAAGGGTCTCAAATGATCGTAAAGGACAACTTTAACTAGCTAAAGGGCTAGCATTCCACCTTTGACTTGCAGAAGCAACTTCATGTTGCGCATGCGTATTGAGTGTTCGTTAAACAACTTAAGTAAAGCCAATTTTTGGGAATATTAGCATATTTCATGCATACGACTATCGATAGATTTGCCATCTTTTTCTGCATAGTCAACCTGTGGATTGGATTTATGAGTAAAGCGGTATCAAGTAGTAGTATAGAAGCAATGTAAGTATTCTATATGTGGGAGGCGAATACGGAAGTACTAAAGGAGTAACCTCTTGCTTCACCAACCGTCTTTTCCTGATGGTTTAGGTGTGGCTGAAGCCGATATTAACTCTTCCTATAATGACGTAAATCCAAATTATTTACAGGTGAGGGTGTTTTGCATCTTTTAAATACAATTTCCACCCTTATAACACATACATATATTTAGCAACAAAGCAAAGGGGCGAGTTTTCATCCTTTATCTTAATGCAATACACACTCAATCCGTTAGATGGCGCAATGTCTCCACAGTAGGCCTAAGTATCAAAGTACACATATGCTATTATAATTGAGACACTGATGTTAGAATTTCAGTGGGGTTTTTTTTTGTTGCAGAAATAGTACAGTTGCTGTAAAACCATATATTAACCCAAAATGTGTCACTAGAAGGGAGGTGCTAGCACATGTTATAATTGTGTGGGAAATATAAAGATAGTCCAGTGTTTGCTGTCAAATAGTAAGGTATTTAAAAAAACACACACAAACAATCAACACAACATAAGGTTAAATTAAGAAATTCTTTCAATTATTTTCAATTAAGTCAACTTTTAAACAACCATCTTGTTTTTACGTGATTTTTATTACTACAGTCAATACATTACCTTGTGAAAAATGACTCAATAAGGCTGCATGGATGATGATGAGACATATTTAGACCTGCGCTGTTAAAGAGACAATCACGTCAGGTGATGACTGCCCACTTAAGCGTCAGTGTTATCACTTCAGATCCAGGGGTTTCCTTCCCAGGGTACCAAGGGCTTTCCATCTACAACGCAGGAAAGACAACCAGCTCCCACGCGTTGTGGAGATCCGCTGTGCCTCCAGCAACAGACTGCTCCTTCAGGCAAAAAATAAAAACACGGGTTTTGGTGACAGGCACCATGCGCAATGACTGACTCCGTGGTCGTATCCAGGCTCTGCACAGAAATTTAGTCCGCATCATTCCCTGACAGCTCCCCGAGAGAGGGAGAGGAGAGAGGAGAGCAGGTCTGGATTATCAGGTAGGCTTTATCATCTCCTTCGAAGGTTTTTCTTAAAACATTGCATCCTCAAACTAAAATCACTGTGGGGTTATTGCATTTGGCATTTTACTCAGTGCGTTAGAATTTCTCATTTACAAGTTGAATGGATGCAGCATTTCATTCACAAGAGCGGGAGATGGGCTGGAAATGACGAGGGAACACATTTTATTGCCTGTATTTATTATGTTGATAACACCATTGTGTTTATGAGCCTGTTACTCAGTGAGTCATTTGAATGAAAAATAAACATTTGTGTGTGCCAGTGCAACTCAGCATACATGGAGCTGCTGCTAATTAACCTGTGAGAGGTACAAATTATGTAAATTACCCTTTGATTCATTCCTTTGTTTTAGGAAAACATGTCTTACTGAAAACATTTCTCTGCAGCAGAATTGTGCCGTCATTCATGCAGAGGTGTGCAGATTGCCTTCGTATTTAAAAATAGTTGCATTGATTTACTACAGCAGGCTTTGGTGTTGTGATTATGTACTCAGTTTATGCATGAATGGCCATGAATATAACTCTTGGTTAGGCTCGATAGGCTTTGCTAAATCCCCCTTAAGATTAATTAAAGCAGGACAGTTGGCTGGCTGCACTCGTACAACACGGCTGCTTCCTTGTTGTAAATCTGACATAAGAAAACAGACCTGGTAAGTCATGTGGGAGATTGTGTGGTTGCAGTCCCTGGGCGTTGCTGCAGGATTTTTAGGAGTGTACACTGGGGCTTGATGTGCCTGCAGACTTTGAGGAACACATCTGTCAAAGAGCTGATGTGGGCAGGGCAGATGTGAACTCCAGCTGTGCCACAAGACAGGTGATTCAGTCACCTACTAGTAGTGGTGTTACCTCATCCTGCACCTGTGGTGTTATTACACTTAGTCAGAGACGTAGTGAGTGTGTAAACAGACTTATTGGACCAAACAGGCTCCATGTTTCTGGTGTTAATATGGATGGAGGACAGAAAGAAGAAGCTAGGAATCCGCCTCTCAGTTCCACCATATCCAACTCCTCCTACAGACCTGAAGCATGGGGATTAAATGGGGGAGGGGAGAAAAAGACTGAATGAACGGTCTGAGAGATATCTGCAGCTGCCTCCTCTCACATGAACAACCACAGTAGTGATTGGACGACACCCTTCTGCTGGTACCTCTCTATTTCTCTGACTCCCTGCCAGCACACTGTTTTCCTCCCAGAGAAAGACTGAATTAGACAAGAGAGAAAAGGGGGAAACTGTTTCTGAGGCACATCAAACAGGAGAAAACGAGAAACACTGGGAGACATGGGTGTTAAAGGGAAAGGTGAAAAAAAGATGGAGGAATGAAGTAAGTGCTCTGCACGCTAACTGCATAATTTAAAGCTGAAGCATACAAGACGACTGTACCCATAATCCCATGTCTTCATCTTGTCTTCCTCTCGAACCATGCTGTCTTTTTAACCATGATGAAGAAGATGCATCAATTGAGTTTATTGAAGGAAACATGATCCACTGATACTTGTATTGCAATTCATTTTTGCACAATTTTGTACAGTTATAATCTACTACAAACACAGACTGGTGGAGACACACACATACACACACGCTTTTAATCATTCTGATTCTCTTCTTCTGATCTTGCTGTTACCATGGCCACAGTTGGTAAAGGTGCATGACTCTATGTTCCTCTGTGCTCCACACAATACATATATGGTGCTTCAGACCGAAATCACATGTTGTACTCAAAATATGTATTTTGGTTTCTGTGTGCTGCTTTTGAGCACATTAAAAAAATTGTTCTGTATGAGGGATTATTCTGCCGTTTGTGGCCGAGCTTCAGAAGGGAGTGGCTCTATCTTCAAATTCTCCTGAGATTGGTGGGTGAGAATTGATTTAACGTCCTCTCTGAAACTGTTGATTATATCTGCGTAAACACTGTGGCATATTGGAAAAGAGAGTAATTAATGTGTCCTATAAGCAAAGTTCTCCCAAGAGAGTGGGGGCTTACAAATCCCAAACAGAGTCAGGCTAAGATCGAATCTTTAAACGCACGCCTATCTGTAAGCAAGATCTCTGTCCACTACCTTTTATAATCTCTGTACATAGCTGCAGTCATGGCTTCACCATAGATGACAGAGTGACATCTAAAGTAAAACACTTTGCATTCAAAGTCAATAGCAAAGCTTCCAATCAGGGGGTTTTGTCTCAAAACGTTTATTGTTAGTGTGGCAGTGTTTCCAGGTTGTAACATAGTCTAGTTTGCCAACAGAGATCTGCTAAAAGCACCCAGGGGCATTGTACCTGCTTGCTGGTGGGACAGGAGGGAGGGTCAGATATCCAGCTGCTGATCCGTGCCAGAGCTTCAAAGGAGAGCAACAAAGAGACAAAATCGTGTCCGTCACACAGAGGGATTGATAGGAGATCGGACTTACATGTTAAGAAGCATATCTCAACACACCACCAGCTGCAGGTCAGTTCTGATTAATGGGGAAAAGACGGATACAACAAGCCTTTACCGGTTGTTTTCCCAGAGATAAGATGGGAGGAAATTAAAAGAGCAGGACTGGCCGGTGCATCAGCAACCAGTTTCTCAAAGTCTTTACTTCTAACCTCTGGGGCATACTGGGATGAATCACCATCAGCCAAGCAAATTTGAGCACTACTGCAGGCTCTTACTGCAGTTAATTGAGTGCTCCATGTCCGATAGCCGTTTACTTCTCTAGTTCTAAAATAAGGCCCAGATAAAAGACGAAGCCTCCGAATTACATGAAAATGTCTGAGAAAATGTGGGTCAGCAGACAGTTTTCCTCTAAATTGAAGGATGATTGCTGGATATAGGACATGGACTGCTTATTCAGTGTGTTGATTTAAGAATGAAAAACACAGCCCCTACCCTGTAGAGGTCTGTTGGATAGGGCCAACAGTGATAGCAGGATAACAGCATGGTAGCTTGTTGGTTACTGGATGGTCTTTCCTGTTTGTTCTCCAGCGATGCGGGACCGGGAGCCATGCCTGCCAAGAGTGTGTGTTTTTTGAAATTCTGCAACACTCTCACATTTAAGGGGGTGAAGAGCCCTCACAGGTTGTTCCACAGATGGTCGCTGTCAACGCCCCTGTCTCACTGAAAACATGGGTAATTTGTCAATGCCACAGACCTAAAACACCAACAAACGACCTTATTGTTTCCAAAAATAGAGTTAAATTCTGTCTGAATCTCAGTTTTTTCCATGAACCCACTGTTCTGTACATGATGTCTCGTATAGGTCCGTGCACAGAGAGCGTGCACTAATGCCCTACAGAGGGGACGGACACAGAGTGAAAAGCAATGGTGGGTGGGAGTTGTAAATAATTAAGAAATGCTGAGTGATGTTTTCCTCCTGCAGCGGAGGGTTTTCTTGGTGCAGTGCTTTACAATCCAGTCCAGGTCCAGACCTCAGTGTTGTCAGCTCACAGCCCCTTTTTGTGGGTCGGATGAAGTTGTGCCATGCTGTGGGAGTGGGTGGCTACCTAGTTAGTTTATAAGACCAAATGATCTGTAAAACAATTTGACAATCCGTTCAGTAGAAAGTCGATCACCACTTATAACCCTTTCGGTTGGGTGTTTTCCAATCATCCCCACTATATTACCAGTGTTTATGGCCCAGACAGATGTGTGCTGGTACCCGTTATTAGATTGGATTTTTTACTATGTATGAGATTGTCTTCGCAGACCATGAATTTCTTTTTGACATTCGAGCCACCTACCATCAGCCCAAATGTGTCACCACAAAATATTAGGGAGCAGCTGCTAATACTTTTTTGGAGGACATGTAGCCTACGTGTGAGTCAAGGTATTGTCAATTTTTACTTTTGTATTACAGTGAAGGTCTGTAGATGACTCATAAAGTAGCAGAACTCATTAATAGGCTTTATTTATACAGTAATTTTTCCATGTATGTTTTCTTTTTACACTTGGTGACATTTCTTGTGAATTTTCCATCATACAAGCCTTGTGCTTATTAATCAGACGTTGCTTTCAAGGCTGAGATAATAGCATCATTGAATATAGGGTTAACATTGATTTAATATTGCCCTTATTCTGCCCAATATATTGGTACATTTTGACCTATGAATGGCTCTCACATGTCTTTATTTATAGATGCGATTGAAAAACGGATTTAAAAGAGAAAAAATAATACTTTTTTCAGTCTTTCCTTCTCAGGCATGATGTCCCAGATCACCACAGGACTTGAGTCGAATCTGTAGACCGGCCAATTTTCTCCTGTCTGAGGATCTCAGGCTGTTTTCTGCTTCATAATACATGAAACAATTTTATCGCCAAGGCCAGATTGTTGGGAAGAAAAATGAAACATATTTTCCTTCTCTTCTTTACCTCAGCTACGTGGTTTTTTCATTCTGCAGTTTAAAGATGAAAACATGTGCTGTATTTCACATTTTTGTAATCCTTGGCAGTGATGTAAAAAGAGAAAAACACATACTATCACATTAAACTTATACAAAATATCCATGCTTTACAATAATCCCTTTTTCTTTGAAGATGGAGCCCTTTAGTGTTGCTTTGTGTAACTATGTTTCACAACCTGATAAATTATGAATACACAATCACACAAGGCAGTACAAGCTCAGTAATGGCTCATTTCAAATAACGTTACAGCTGAGCTTGTTTCTCGGGGCACTGTGAAAAATGGTGTATGGGTTGCAGGGTTATACGGTCTTTTAATAGGAAAAAAGCACAGTGTGTTGCAGCTTATAAAACATTTATGGTCACAGCGACCTGAAAAAAATGTATATCGTTTCACCAGGAATATTGAATCATTGGTAGGGTGGATATGATGTGCTGACATGAATATAAATACTGATACCTACTTAGCATCAGCAGGTTGGAATCTGCTGATCTAAGCATGCATTGGTTAACATAAAGGGTTATTGGTGGATGATTTGTTCGTGGCTACAGCAGAGCTTTAAGGCGACATCTATTATTCGTAAGTACGTTTTAGCCCCTGAGGCTTGGAAATTCGAATGGAGGTCTGATTAAAGATAAATTAAAGTGAAACCAATTGTGGATCTACGCATTGATCTCCGATTCTCATTAACCCATTTAAAGAAATGTCCTTCTTTGAGGATGGCGAGGGAATTGTTGCCCTGGAATGCAAGTGGAGTACCAGCATGTGTTTCAGTGTTATTATATTCAATACATTGACAAATAGGACACCAAGCAGGGTGTAAAAGAATATGTTATTATTAAGTACAGTTGGAGTAAACAAAGTCACACTCATTTTATTAAGGGCTGTTGTGTCTTGAAAGGTTGAATACATTTTCAGAATGATTAATTTAAAAGCCACATATTCTATTAAAACCTTGCTTTTATGCATTGTGTTTTGCTGATCTCAGTACAAAGGAGATGACTCTGCTCCCTCTACCCCCATCCCCCCTGAAGCTCTGAGTGCTGTAGCCATAATGATCCATGTTGGATCAATCCATCAATGTCCCGCCGCCTCATTGTCACTCTCTCTGCTTTCTTCATCTCTTGTTTCCACAAGCAAGTACTGTAATCCTCAAAAGAAATTAGTGATCTTATCCCAATCTATGTCCTTGTCTTGTCATATGTTCTGCATGAATGAGTCATACACCTGCTGTTGGAAGGCAACATTAATCTGTGTTGGCACAAACATGGATGTAAAATATATAGGTTGTGCTTTGGGAGTTGTGTATGCATACTGTTCATCCCTGAAGATGTGCAGATTTGTATTGACAATCCTCTCAGGCCCCGAGGAGGAGACACAAGTTTCTAAATTGGTCCTCTCCACCCCCATACACAGGATCTACTCAAGAGAGATCATGCTGGGTGGTTGACTTATGATGAGCAGGCATGACTAGCTCGATGCTCTCACTCCAGTCTTTCCTGTTGTCAACTCGATCATACTGTGCATGCCCGGTGTATTGGCAGACACTATTGTGTGGTTGCTTTCACAGTTCATGTCACCACTTTGCAGAACGCAACGTCATGCATGCTTCATGACATTTCAGAGGGAAGAAAAAAAAAAAACCCACAAGAAAATATCTCCCATGAGAAGCATCCACCACCTGACTGAGTCATCTTATATGGGAGAAAAACACGTACAAGATGACTGTCAGTTGCAGATGACGCAGATTAGTTGCATTTACAACCTCTGAGGGTCACAGTGATGTCACATCTGTAAAATTACAAGGCTCAATATGACATTTTGGTCAAAACAGTCCACTATAATTGGCCTCGGATACCTTTTTTATACGTCTGAGATGTTAACCCTCTCTGACAGCACAGTAGGTAAAACCAAGTACTTTGTCTGAAGCCTATACTGACAGCTCCTTATGAGAAAAGTGTGTATAAGATCATTTAGACTATCTCCTTCATGCTAATTGGACTGTCACCTCGGAAAAAGAGTGCACTTCTGTGATGCAGTAACATCCATCCCCAGTGCTGTAAAAGCTCAGAGTTGTCTGAGTCAGTGATCACCCAGCCCGAGCCTGACTGCCCCCTCCCATCTGTCTCTCTCAATCCACCTCTCCAGGACAATCATGTTAGACAAAAGTGGGATAATTCATTTTGGCAAGTGAAGGAGGGCCGCGCCAGAGAGCCTCAGTGTATATGATAAACACTGTACAGTCAGAGTGATGTCTGGGACGTCAGACTGCTACCGAGAAGTGGAAAACGACAATTGCTCCCTGAAGGCTCAGTTGCCACTGTTGGCTGGATGCACCAGGGAAAAGTCCACACCCAGATTTTCTATTCGTAGCACAGTGAATTTGTTGTTATTCTGTGAACCCTGCTGACAGTGCAGCACCAGATTAGACCTGAAAAGGTGTACGGAGCCTGACGTTACGCAGCATAATACTAGCATCTGAATGAGGGAGGCGGTGGCGCACCCCTCCCTTTCGCTGCCTCTTTTCCTTTCTCCAAGCTTCTACAGTGCCGGATTTTACTGCTGTAAAAATCTGAGGAGAAGTGAAATGTATTGATTTTCCTTTTAGCCTTATCATTATGAATCCCTGACTGATTCTGTCCTCATACTGCACCATCACAATTCTGGACATGTGAGGCTCCAGAGAGGCTGTTAGATCCTCTTGTTGCTCATTTTCAGAAACCTCTTGTCTTCTCTGACTGCTGGTACTTCCCTCAGGACATACACTGCTGTCTCCTCCGGCCTATGCAGCATCACTCAATGTACAGTATTGTCTCAGTATTGAAGCAGCTGTAAGTCAGTTGCAACAGGGGCACACACACACACACATACTCAGCAGACTGCAGACTTGCCCAAAGACAATCGCTTCACTGATTTCTGTTGACATCTTGTATCAGCTTTACTATGTCACTCGGAGATTAAATTACATTGCTGGTGTATCATATGGATAAGAGCTTTGTGAGCAATTCGAACAGTTGACAGCGCACTGTTTCCCAACGTCATCATTAGCGCTAGGCTGCTCAATGTACACAAATCACTTCAGAGCCAAATGTCTGTCAGCATGTACTTCGAATACTCACTAAAACACAGCCATCCTACAAACAATCCAGTCCTGATTTCTTCACATGGAGTGACAACAACCAACCTACAGAGAGTGGTGAACAGTAACCAAGTACATTTAGCACTCTTAACTATAGCTACTTTGTACGTATTAAAGATATTATTATATGATATGATGCAGTACTGCACTATAAATCAACCTATCAATCAACAAAGTATCTTAGATTGTATCAAAACTGACAAACTACAACATTAAAATGCTCTTGAATGTATTTGTTAGTTATAAAAACGAATAATATAAACTTTTATAACAATATAAAACTGTAAACAAATGCATTTTGTATTTTAAGTATACATATTGCTGATAATACTTGTGCTGAGGTGACATTTTGAATCCAGGAGTATTACTTAGAGTAATTTAAGACCATAGTATTCTTTCTTTTACGTTAAAGGATCAAATTACCTTTCGTCCTCTGCCTATAGATCTTGCAAACTGCTCACCAGCCCTCCCCCTAGCATCTGATCCCCCCGAGTCCCACCAGCATTCACAGAGAAAAAGAAAAACACTTTGGATACAAATTCTCAGCCATAGCCAATCAGAAACACTGGAGACAATTACTCTTTGTCATCCTTATCAGTACACACTCACCTCCTCCTCTACCTCCTCTTCTTCCTCCTCGTCCTGTACCGTGGCATAATTGAGCCACTCCTGCTGTATGGGACCATCTGTTTCTTTGATATGTGTGGAGTCACAAACTGGAAGAAATTAACATTTCAGCATCATTTCACACTAATGTACAGGAGGGCTGTCTTTGTCATAAACTCTGTTCTGTTTGCAATACTAAACACCTCTACCCCTGTTAGAACAGCTGTCAGCTTAGTTTAGGCTTATACGAACAGATCCGTTGTGTTTTTGTCAGGTCTTTGCAATATGTCCTAGGTCTATTTACTGCTTGAATATGTCGGTGGGAAAAAATTGATAAAACAGGCTTGGCAGGAGGAAATGGTACTGATTAGGCGGAAAATCTGGCACCAAAAAATGTGCTGTTATTGCCACCGGTAGCCAATATTTTGTTGCTGTTTCATGCTTAATATGTAAATTCCTCAGAATAATGTAGATGAAGGGGGGGAAAAAGTTCTCTTTACTTTTCTGGAAACTAATTGATTGGTCTATTATCTGCAGTGGGTCATGCATTCAGTTTGTGTGTGTGTGTGTCTGTCTGTCTGCATCTACCCACAACCTGCTTTGGTAGCAATAGGCATTTCGGACAATCTAGTCTTAAAAATAAATAAAGACGTGTCTGACGCGGGCCATATTTTGGCCTTTGTCATCACTGAAGAACTGATATTAAGAAACAAGTTGAGTCTCCTTTTAAACCAAAGCATCATCAGATTATTCCATACCCACTAGCCTATATACTAGGATAATATATAAGGCAGGCTAAAAGATGAATAAATCCCAGTTTTTGTTATTTTTTCAATGACATCTTGACAGGAGGCAGGAGGAGTGGGATTCAACCCTTCTGTATTTGGGAAGGGAGAGGGGAGACGGCTGTTGGAGAACCGTACTGAGAGCACTTTCACTATTATTTATTTGTTTGGCTGATGATGGTCTCCAGTGTGAGGTCATCATTATCTACCTTTTCATTAACCCCAACATCACTGTGTGGCAATTAAAGGAAGTGTATCTGGTGACTTGCCAATTTAAGGTCAGCAGCGTTGTGACTCACACATTTGTACGCTGAATCCTTGCCCATGGTGGTAGTTGGGTCAGTGCTGCATAAGCAAGAGATAAGGACAGAGGGTAGCTAAAAGAAAGTGTGGACTCAACACGCATAGCTTGGACGCAAGTCAAACTTTAAAAACTCATTAATTGCCCTCTCACATAAAGAGGTCTTAATGCAGGGTTGGCAGCTTTCAATGTAATTAGTTAAAGATGGTTTGATTAATTTCTTGCTGAATTAATGTGTCTTTCTTTCCGTCCACCTGCAGACTGTGATAGTGCGGCATGACAGACACGGTGGTGAGCAGCAGCTCCGATCGCTGGCAGTCCAACGACAGGCAGAGAACCATGCACGCTAGGTAAGCATCGTCAGAACATTTTGGTATTATTTACTTTCTCTTTCTTATGTGGCTACCAACACTTCACTTTACTCTTCTTTTTTCACGTTTCCCTCTGATGTGTAATCTGTGACGCAGTGAGAAAGAGCAGTAAGTAGACAAACTCTTCTCTTGTCTGCCTCATGTATATCTGCTTTATACCCTTTTCTGAAAGTGGTTTATGACATTTTGCTGCTTGTATGATAGGATATTGTTTAGTAAAATCATAGAAGCAATCTCAACTTGAAATATGTTTGGCTCACAGGGGCAACTGGACCACGCAGCAAGGTCCTGGTCCCGGTCCAGACCTGACTGATGAAGAGAAGGAGATTATTAACAATGTGATCGCCCGTGCTGAGAAAATGGAGGCCATGGAGCAGGAGAGAATTGGGTGAGGGCTCGTAAAACATGCAGCAATCACCTGTTGAGACCAAAGACATGCATACATTTGGACCGGAGGTGATTAACGGTGACATTTTAAGAACAAATGTACCCTGTGCTGCTGCAGGCGCTTGATAAACCGCCTGGATGACATGAAGAAAACTGTGTGTGGGGATGGACAGTCCCGCTGTTTGCTGTGTGGGGAGCAGCTAGGTTCACCTGGGGTCAGCTCAGTGGTGTGTGAGGACTGCAAAAAGGTAGGTATTGAAGGAGCCAATTATTACAAGAAAGAATAAAATATCCCCTGCTGTACTGCATAAACACACACAATAGGTCATGGTCAATGTGCTGTGTACTTGGAGAATAATAACTGTAAATGTCGAGCAGCTGGAAATCTGTCTTTTCTTTTGTCGTAAAGAACATGTGCACCAAATGTGGTACGCAGTGTGGAAGTCGGCCACGTGCTGTGTGGCTGTGCAAGATCTGCAGAGAACAGCGAGAGGTGAGTGCTCTACGCCACTGAACAAATACTGTGATTCAATTGTCTCTTGGTAAGCCTATAGCACACTGTTTATTTGTTCTGTTTTCTCAGGTGTGGAAGAGGTCTGGTGCCTGGTTCTTCAAAGGATTTCCGAAGCACTTCTTGCCATCGCCCATGCCATTGTCTAAACCTGGAGACACAGCAGCCCAGGAGGTGGCAGAGCCCAAAGGGCCGCCAGCCCTTAAGCCCAGGCAGGAAGTCACCCAACCACAAGCACCAGGTACATCTGCACCATTCAGATTTTAGTCTGCAGTCTTTTTTTGACAATTATCATCATATTGGATTTACCTTTTAGATTGTTGGCACAAATAGCTGGTTTACATTATGTTTTTGTATTTAAAAAACGGATGTGCCAAACTATCTAAGGTGCCTGTCAAGTGAAACTTTATTTGTAACACAAAAAAATAAAGTTCACCAAAGTGCTGAACAGCCACAGAATACTAATCAATAGAGTCAAACAACCATGGAAAACAATAAACTACAGAGGATGTAGTCCAGGTGTCAGCATAACTCAAGCATTGGCTATTATCCATTTAAGGTGTCTTTTATAACATCTATTTCATAAAGCTAGCAAGCTACCCGAAAGGTGCGAGCTTGTTAGCCTAGCTTGCTAATATTAGCCTTGCTTTTTGTTGTTATTTAAACACACGTTGCTGAAAAATTGGCAGCTCCTACACATCAGCTGTCTGCCATATAATCTCAGCAGAAACAAAATGATATTTTACTATCATCTTCTTGGTTATGTCACAATTGTATTTAAAGATATAGGAGAGTCAAAACCAACATCAGGAAGGTATGCAAAAAAAATACTAACACTAAAATGTTTCAAAGCGCCACCTCTTCAGATCATTAGATCATCATCTGCAGATTTCTCGCAACCAAACCCCAACTCATTGCTCTTTTCAAACCTTTTATCTGCTTCCCAAATTTGGCAGTACCGCCCACTGTTGCCGAGGAGGGGGTTGAAGAGCTCAATTAAGCCGTCGGAAGGTGCATGCTGTGACATGGGATGGGCCTCAAGGTGGTGCTGGCATGAAGGGTTACACTGTATAATTTCACACTTTCACTGTGATTCTGCCATTAAAGAGAGGGGTAGTTTGAGCAGGCTACTGCACGTACAGTAGTCAGCTCCGGCAGCTTGTTGTAGTGTATGTAGGTCAATGCCTTTGCAAGGGAAAAGCTGCTACATCAAAAGTATCCAGTGAGACTTGAGAGTATTACTGATTGCACTGCAGTAGGAGCCTGAAGGGGTGTGATTATGCATTTCTCCCCTATGTATAATGTATCTATGCATTTACTGTATAGTGCTTTCCTTGCTTGTTTTTAGGGCCAGAGCAACAGGGCCGTGCTGGCTACCCACCTGTGGCCCCTAAACCATCAGTGGCACGCATGGCCACGGGCGGGGCGGGGCCTGAAGAGGCGGGACAGGGCAGCCCGGTGGTGATGAGGAAGGCGGTGCCCGTCCACAGCTCCAGACCTCAGCCTGCTGCATCGGCCACCATGGCCCCGCAGGGTGAGAGACACAATGCTTTGCTCAAACATAAATATAACATAGTGGTACCTTAACTGTTGCATGCAATTTTGAGGTACGTATACTCCACTATATTCTGAAAGCAAATGTTATAATTCCCTTTGATTTATTTAACAGCTTTAGTTACTTTGCAGGTCAAGATTATTACCACTAAATATACATTTACCATTAAATGATGGTATTATATTACAAATTAAGATACCTTGGCATATATGGTGATATACAATTAGCTTCACCTTCAGCAACTGCAAATGTAAAGTGATTGAAACATTAATATAATGTGTAATGTAAGAAATAATTATTATCCATTTTATTATTATGCTGAAATGGGTCATTCTGCATAATGAGTACTTTTTTTTATGCTAATAATTGTACTGTTAGTTAGATTTTGAACACAGGACTTTTACGTACTATTTCTAGTAGTATTACTACTTCGTAAAAGATCAGAGTTCTTCTTACACAACTGACCAAATGTTGCATCTCTAGTAGTGTTCATTTGTGCAGTCTCAGAAGATCTAATTTGGTTGCAGGTCCAGTGGCAGGAGATGCAGGGGCTTACTCCTCTGCTGCAGCTCCTCCTGAGCAGAGAGCACCTCCTGCAGCGAGAGAGGAGAGGAGGCAGCCCGCAGCCTACAGCGCCCCCCCCGCCCGACAGCAACCCCCCCCAGCGGATGAGGAGGAGGACGCCAACGACTATGACTCTGATGAAGCAAGTAAGTACGCCATCTGCTCTTGGAATAAAGTGGCCGATGTGTATAGTTTAATCTCACCTTATGTACAGTATGGCATGATTGGTTCCCTTTCATTAATTTAAGGTGAATGGCACCAGATGGGATGTTTTTTTTAATTTATTTTTTACATATAGTCATTCAGCGTAAAGTATTGGCTGTTGATGACAATTTGGCTGTTATGCTTCGGGATCCTTAGTCACACCGTGCTGATGCTTGATGTCTGGCTTTTAGACAGTTGGTAATAATTCAAATTTCCCTATAGTCGTAGCAAATAGGAAGTATTATTCTGGCAGCGTCCATTGAGCTGTGTAGAAAATGACAAATGATGAGCACCATATGTTATGGAAGCATGATAATCCATATCAAGGGAAGACGAAATCACTAAGTCAATAGTGGAACATAAGCTATGTAATTGCAGGGTTCTTTCATATATCCCCCTTCCCATTTCAGTGATTCATGATCTGTGCCTGCAGCGTCTCACGGCCTTCATTGTCACTCTGGGGGATCGGTGTTAATTTATTTTATTGAGGTCCAGGAAAATGGAACTGTGCAAATAATTTAAGATACAACAGGGCTAAGAGGATATAGATTCCCCTTGTGTTCGATCCAATCCCGTCCATTGGGAGCAAAATGGCAGAAATAGCCATGGTTTCATGTGCCTGTCCCTATATAGATGTGACAGTAGAGGACTGATTGGTTTGAGTCGGTCAGCCGGCAAATACATAATGAATATCTAAGGCAAAAAAAGGGAACATAAAAAAAACATAAATCAACAGCAATAACTCTACTAATGCCCATAATAACAACAATGACCCCAAGAACCCAACAGGTACCCATTTTGTACTGGTTGTTTCAGCTTTATAAAATCAGTATTGAATGTTTAATGTGAATTAGATTGTGTATGGTTAAATGATTGTTGAATATTTTATTAAAACAGTTTGATAATCATATGAGATTGGATGTCTACAAGTTTGTGTTTTGTTGTAAAGTCAATCAAATCAATCAGTACTACCGATCATTAGATAAAGATGGAAGATATAGTGCTTCATTTTGTATCTTTGTGTCCTTTGAGCACCAAGATGTTGGTGAATCTCAGCCCAGAAAAGTTAAGTTTTATAGGAAAATTACCAAATGACTTTTGATCATTTTGTCCCCAAACGAGATGAAACTGCTCCAAAGAAAATCTGTGTGGGCAGCTTATTAGTCTCTTTTTTTCCTGAACCTAATTTTCTGGATGTCTTGAGAATTGAATGCTTGTATACTTAATTTATTTTATATTATGTGCCCTGCTTTCTAATTAGATTTTACTGAGGGCTATTCTAGACTAGCTGTGAATGTTTCATGAGCATGGCTCTAGAGTTATTGTCCATCCTTTCTGTCCATTCTGGGCTTTTACTTGTTCTTATTTCTATTTTCAAGTTAAAGTGGTTTAATTTCTAAAGGATTTGTCCCTGTATTTGTACTCTTAGTCTAATGTAATGACTGTTTTGTGTCTTTTTCAGCCACCCTGGGCTCTCTAGAGTTCAGCCTGCACTATGAACAGGAAAGCAACAGCCTCCACTGTAGCATCCTCAAAGCAAAGGTACCACCACGCTTCTGATTGTCTCGCACAAAGAGACAATTACAATCAAGAGGCTCCTGAATGGCACTTTACCTTAATTGCTCTCTGCTGTTCTCTATGATGTGATGAACATGGTGCTCTATTTCTCCTCAGGGACTGAAGCCCATGGACTCAAATGGACTTGCTGATCCTTATGTGAAAATACATCTGCTGCCTGGGGCTAGTAAGGTAAAAGACACATCTTTCCTACAATTGACTTCCTTTTTAAAAGAAGAAAAATATCTTGCTAAGCAAAAAAAGGAGGGTGGTGATTTCAGACCCCCGTGGTTTGATTAGGGGCCTTTCTGCTAGCTCAAGCCTGACACCTTGTGGTCTAAAAAAACACAAGATGATAAAAAATAAATGCATATTGAGGCATTGCAAGTCAAGTCAAAGTAGTAGTGGAAGTACATTGGCAGCATCGTGCAATAAAACTGTGCTGTGGTTGAGAATGAGGAAGATTTAAGTAGCAAAAACAGATGTTGACGGGAAGCAGCACCGTGTAGATTCTTCCAGTGATAAAACAGTTCAAACCACAGATGTGCTGAGGCTTTTTCCCAGCAGCATGCCATGAAATATTTCCATTTCCTGTCCTTATCTAACCTTTATCTAACAGTCAAACAAGCTGCGTACAAAGACCTTGAGAAACACCCGCAACCCTGCGTGGAATGAGACGCTCACCTACCACGGCCTGACTGATGACGACATGCAGCGCAAGACCCTCAGGTGAATACCACTCCTCAGACAGTCAAACTTAAATCATCCTTTTTATGTTTCAAACTTACTGTGCCCTCAGATGACTATTTTTCAAGCTGTCAGAGGTCTATCATTTAAGACGCTCTCTTGATTTCCACAGGCTGTCAGTCTGTGATGAAGACAAGTTTGGGCATAATGAGTTTATTGGGGAAACCCGAGTGGCGCTGAAGAAACTGAAGTTGAACCAGAAGAAAAACTTCAACGTGTGCCTCGAGAGAGTTGTCCCTGTGAGTGAAACTCAATTGCATTCAAACAACACTTTGTTCTCCACGTCTGAAACTCTTGTTGACCTACTGTAATCTCACCCCTTCCCCACAGACAAAGAGAACTGCAACAGCCGGGGGAGCCAGGGGCATCGCTCTATACGAAGATGAGGCAATGCATTTTTGATTTGCATGCATGTCTGAACATGGCAGATTCCTTTAGAGGTTCTTGCAAATATGATCATATATCATACTAAACTTTCTCTCCCCTCTGCTCACAGCCAGGGAAAGAGGGGGGGGAAATGGAGGAGCGTGGCAGGGTCCTGATCTCCCTCATGTACAGCACACAGCAGGGCCGTCTCCTCGTGGGCGTTGTGCGCTGCGTTCACCTGGCCGCCATGGATGCTAATGGCTACTCTGACCCTTATGTCAAAATGTAGGTACTGTAGAGCAGGATGAGCTGACATTTGGATTGCAATTGGGGGGACTCTGGAAATGGTTTAAATTCAATGTTAATAATTTTACAGATGTCTGAAACCTGACATGGGGAAGAAGGCCAAGTGCAAAACACAAATCAAGAAGAGGACTCTCAACCCAGAGTTTAATGAGGTTTGTAAGAGAGTTCAAGGTGAAGGGCTGCAATTTATAAAAATGTGCATAGCCCCAAATTATTATCAAATCATTGTGTTTGCAGCTTGAGGATGACTTGTGTTTGTAGTCGGCTTTAAAAATGTTCAATTCATGTCTCAAATGTCAGGAATTCGGCTATGAAATCAAACACAGTGAACTGGCCAAGAAGACTTTAGATATCTCTGTGTGGGATTATGACATCGGGAAGTCCAACGACTACATTGGTAAATATTTGAGATGTGTGATTGCTTTGTTGAAATGAATGCAGATTTCTCACCTGCTCAGCACCACCTGCCTTTTCACGCCTCCCTTCCTTCCTGACAGGTGGGTGTCAGCTTGGCATCACTGCCAAAGGAGAGCGGCTCAAGCACTGGTATGAGTGTCTGAAGAACAAGGACAAGAGGATTGAGCGCTGGCACACCTTGTATAACGGGAATCACGTCACTAGTGATTAACTAAAACATACAGCATGAGCTAAACCTCTCTAGTTTGTTTGCATTCATTTCCTAATGCACTTTTCCACCTATTTTATTGTGTTATCTATTCTCTCACTACCTGTCCATCAACAACACAGGCTTACTCACCTCCCTTCCCTAATGTAGTATACTCTTCTTTCCTGTCCTCTTATTAACAATTTGCCTCTGCTGATACTTAATCTGCATCTGGGACAAATCATGGCTTAATTTGATTAGATATTTCAATAAGACATGTATCAATGAACAACTAGACAAGGACTACCATTCCTAACATTGATGTTGTATAGTGCGTTGAACTTGATAAGACATAGATAAGAAAAAAGGAATTGCACTAGCGCAGAAATAGAAAAGCAATATGTTACGGCATCTGAGGTCAAAGACCATCGTTGAAAGACTTGATTGAGCTCACAAAAACATTCGATTGTCAGGGTATAATTTCTTTGATTTCTCGTGTAATGACATCATGCTGTAGTGCAACACTTTGAACTGTATAAGCATGCCAAGCCACAGACACAAGAAAACATGCAGCTGCACCTTCAAATATTTACACTGTGCCCACTGTCCTGAACATATGTATATTTCCATGAAGAAAATGTTTACATACCGATACATTGCTCAGGTTAGAATAGATCTCCGATACACAGATGATTCATAAGTCAGTGGACCATGAGCTGGATGAATCTTTCATCAGTTGCTGTTAATTTGTGACTTAAACAGTTAAACATTAGGAGTATGGTTATTCAAGCTGTGCATTAAGATTTGTGGAAAGCTTTAACTGATAAGAAAACTTTTTTTTTTGCTCATTGAGAATTAGCAGGACGATGGATTTTTCTCCTGCTACCTCTACTCTTCTGAAGCTCGTGGTTCGCTCTGACACGTCAGAGGTGTTCTACTGTAGTCTTTACACTGAATGCACACGGTCGGGTCTAACAAGATTGGTGAAACAAGCTATGTCATAAGTATGTGCAGCTTTACCTGCATGCACTGTGCTCGTCACTCGGACGTGTCTGAGGCAGTCCGCTCTCACCCCACCGCACAAAGCAGAACCCCTTTCCTCTCTGCCACACCCCTTTCATAAAGGCTTTAGTGTTTGTTCACTAATCACAGCAAACCAAGGAAAGCACACCTTACAAAGTGGAATGACCTCAATTTATACAGCTGTTTGCAAGTTATTCCAATGTCAAAGTAAAGACAAAAACAAAAAATCCTATGCATGAAATGTCTTGTGGTTCAAGATATATATACTTTTAAAGAAATTAATGCTATTGTAATTCCATAAATGTTTACACTTCGTCCCCATAACATTCCTGTTAATACTTTATACAAGAGGCCATATTCTGCATGACTATGGTAACTATATTGTAATCTGAAAAAACTGGTCTGATAGCATCCACAGGATAGGCTGATTATCAACTGAGCACATCAGAAAAGACTTGATCCAACTCTATCAGTAGCAGATATTGAGATTAATCTAATTCTTCGAATGACACTTTCTGTAAATACACATTTAAATATCTTCAGTCTCTTTTTCTCTGCACCCTACCCACCAGTAGCATCATACACTGTCTTATGTTGTGCTACTTCAGCAACATTAACTTATCAAATGATGATCAACACAAAAAATAAAAACCATAGCTGTCTTCTTATTAAATATGCCAGTTCAGTGGAATGTTTCTTGCTTTATCTCTATATTTGTATATAGATAGTGCATGCACTGGAAAATATGTATGTTTGCAAATAACTTTGCATGTAAAGATTTTGCAGAGCGTTTACACTGATCAATAAAATCTAATGAAAACTGACAAGCCTTGAGTGTGTAAGTACTTATTTCAGTCAATCAAGACCATCCAAAAGCCTACATTTAAAATGAGCTTCACAAAAGTAATATATGATTCAAGCTAAGGATGCATCCTGATCAAAGTTAAGGAGTTATTATCTTATTGTCTGTAACATTTAATTAAAGGTGGGGTAGGTAAGTTTGAGAAACTGGCTCGAGATACACTTTTTGTTATATTCCATGGAATGCTCTTAACATCCCGATAGCAATTAATATCTTAAGTGCTTTGACAAAAAATCCATAAAAAAATGTCATCTGTGGAAGCCGTAGTACTGTAAAAAGCACGACCAATCATTTTAGCCGGCCCGGCTAAAATAACTGGATGGCCTACCTGCCTGTCAGCCTTCCATCTGTGCACAAACTTATCTCGTGCCCTCATTGGTCATGTGCGCGTTCGTGTGTGTTGGAGGAGGGGCTCTGTAAGGGATGGCAGATTTTTTCCGGTTGTGTATTTTCAAATTCAAGCGCACTCGAGCTGGTTTCTGCAAAATGACCTACCCCACCTTTAAGTTTAAAGCCACCAAACAATAACCTGATCGACTTTCTATTTTATTTAGCCACACCCTATATGTCATGTATATCATTTTTCAGTTGGAAACCACAGGTTATACAGCTATGCAGCTTTTGTCCTTTATCTGGGTGTAGACAAGTCTCATTAAATCACAATCAGGACAGCATTTTTTCTCAGGTGACAGGGTGAGAAAATGCACAAAAGCAATGTCATTCTGCAAAAGTGAGGCGTGTCAAGTTCCTGCCGAGCCTCCACAAAGGAAGGCCAATAAAAAGAAGACCGCTCAACCCAAACCGTTTATGCCAGAGGCACACATGCCATGAGAGACAGACATCCAGAAGCCGGCTGCTGCAGAAATACACTGAGCCTACAATTCATGAGGAAGATTTCGTCCATTCTTACTTGATTATCGCCCATTTTACAGTGAGATGCAAAGGATATGCCTACTACAGGTTGTTTTGGCTCTATCATCGCTAATTCTATCCAAATCACAAGGTGTTATCGGATCAGGTCACTCCTGTCTCAGATCGAGGACTGCAAATGACGGACAGACGCGCATCACGTTTCTACGAGAGGACGCAGCCGGTGTGCGCGTCTTGTACCTCAGCCTATGGTCCGAGGATATACGCCTGGTATCATGCGAGGTGAATGCCGATCCTTTCATCATAGAAACATATCGCACTCTTTGCAACAGAAGTGGCACCCAGAATGGAGAAATCCCTCCGAAGTTTAATATTAGCATGCTGTTGGCTGCAGATACTCCCTGCGCACTGGCCTCTTCTAGTGCGCAAACGTTTAAACGCACAAGGAGAGATGTGAAAGTTGGCAAAACTCGGAGGAAACGCGCATGGATTTTCCCAGGGACGCTGTGGTGCGGCACTGGAAGCCAAGCAGTTAGATACGATCAGTTAGGTGAGGAGAGTTCACTTTTTTCTGAACTTTAAATTCCCCAAAAGGGCAGGAGGACATGATTGGTCAGATGAGACATCCGATGAGTATACTGTATAGGCCAATAACATCTCGATGTCACTTCCATATGGTATTTAGGAAGTTTGGGCCCTCTGATTTTTTTTAAAATACAGACCTTTGGGGATTTCAGGGGGCCCCTCTCTCCAGCTGTCACTATCATTACCACCACTCAATTCATCAGCAGATAGTAGGCCTAGTGTAAATGTCTTCCACAGTAAATACAATTATTATAAAGTAGTTGCCTTTGCATTCATCATACAGTAAAGCAACGTACTGAATTCCCTTATAGAATATTAAACATATAATTGACATTTGAGGTTTAATAAAACAACACAAAATAAAAAATCGAATGGCATTGTAACGAACAGAATGATTATACACTATTGTAGTCACATAATCAAGATGTCCTTCCGCATATCATACATTTTTTAACAGTCTTTGATGCTTTCTGATTTTAAATGAGTAAAGAGATGATTGCTTCTGGAGTTCTATGAAATGTTCCCTCTGATTGTTGAATTCAAGTCTTGTTCTCCTGCGCAGGGATGTTTGAGAGTGCAGATAGATGCTGCCGTGAGCACGACCACTGCCTGCATGTCATCCCGTCTTTCACTATGAATTATGGGGTCTTCAACCGCAACTTGTACACCGTCTCACACTGTGACTGTGACCAAAGGTGAGCCTCAGAATGCGCACCCAGGGCTGGGTTTAAGGTATTTACCGCCTTTAGAGAAACTCTTGCAACCAGGGATTCCAGACCTGTACCCTTAATGATCTGTCAAACAAGGTTAAGACTTGCTCGACAGCTGAACTTGATTATGGAAGTTTAAAGTCTGTTCATAACTACACATATGCACACATGACAATAAAAGCTTTCAAATTTGAAACTTGAAACTAATGAAAGTGTGGTCCTCTCTGGAATGCTAGTTGAATTTACATGTATCAATATGCCAATTATTTGACAGATTTAAGTGATCTGTCAAAGGGATTTTGTGATATAACCATTCATCCAGGAGTAATAATAACCCGCTGCAATCAGCCCTCCGGATCATTTTTTAATGTCAAGAGTGAAGAAGTTGCTCTCCACAGTGTTGGTTGGGCATACTTTTCCTGCTTTTATTAAACCTGCAGACATATTTGTTTTATTCTCACTTTATATCTGGTGCTGACAGGTGCATGGGTCATTTTGTTGGCCTCTACACCTAATTTATAAGTAACTGACACTCACATAGATTTCATCCCCCAGCACAAATGCTATCTATTGCTTCAAACTGTGTCGTCTACCGTATAGGTGCAGACAAAATATGGGCAGCGTTCAACGATTTTTACCCCTGTGTGTTCATTTTGACTATGTTGCTTAAACTGGGCTTGTTATTTTTTCCCCTCACCAGGTTTCGACAGTGCCTTCTTAGTGTGAATGATAGCATTTCCAGCATGGTGGGATACAGCTTCTTCAGCATCCTGCGGGTTCCCTGCTTTGAGCTGAAACAGAAGAAGCATTGCACTCAGTTGTACTGGTGGGGAACGTAAGAGACACACTGAAATTATTGCTACACTATAAACAAGACATTTGTTCAGTCAGTGGAAAGAAAGTGCAGGTTATATGGGAAGATTGAGCAGCAGATTTCTTGTAATAACATGCCTGCCACTCTTCCAAACCTCACACAATTATAAAGGGCACTGTGCCATTCTGTTTCCACAACCTATCTATGATGTTACTAACAAATTGTCTTACAAACAAGATAAGATTAATGGTTAACCTTGCATTAATGGCATTTCATTGACAAACTGCACTATAATAACTATAATTTACGATGTGTGCGTGGGTGACTGATTCTCAAATTTCCACTTTGTTAGAGTCATTATCTTCCATGAAATTATACATAATTATCCCAAATAGCAATATATAAGAAACTTCTTCTACGTCAATGAAATGCAAGGAATGTAGTTATAATATAAGTTTGAAATTCAGCATATACGTTTTTTTCATGGCTTGGTTTTAACATGTTTACTCTCCGCAGGTGCAAAGTATCCCAAAGTGCTCCGTATGCTGTCTTAGAAAGCCCCCTTCCTTACGCCTCTGAGGTTACAAGCAAAAAAGGGGACCACATTGACAGCAACGTCTTAACAGGTAGCAAAGGGCAAAGCTTTGTAATCAGCCCACACAGAAAAACACCAAAAAGTAAACATCGATGTAGCTCCGGAGGAGAGACTTTCTTCCCCAGAAGGAAAAAGGGAAAAGGATGTAAAAGACGCATGAAACTGTTAACAACAGCACCCCCTCAAATTACGCCAATCTCAAGGGTGCACACCACTACTTCTTCAATTACAATGGGTCTTTTGAATGCTTCTAAAAGTAGCACATTGATGCTTAATAAAAAAAGAGTTGGAAAAAAGAAGAGCGTCAGAAAAGGCCTGTCGGCTTACACCACAAAAAGGAGCCATGCTACAACACAGGTAGCCACAACCTCCTATCCACCAGTGACATCTACAACACAAATCACCCCAACTTCAACACCAGCAGTTCAGCCATACCTACCAACAGTATTCACAGCAGTGACCAAAAACATAAAAAGTCGCCAAAAAGTTACAAAACAAAGTCACTGTTGTGGATTCAGGACACCTCTGAGAGGTGACACTTTTCAGCCTCATTTTAAGAGTTGTCTTGAACAAAATACAACATCTCACACCACAACTGTTACACCCTCAACAACTACATATGGATTACCTATCAAAGTGGCAACAACAAGGACTCTGAGGCTAAAAAAGAAAACAGAAACACCCAAAAGAGACACTACGAAAATAATCTGGAGTACAGCTACTTCTGCAAGACCAGTCACAACAAAACTGAAGAAAGCAGCCTCTGTTAATAAGAATGAGAAGCCCAAAAAGCTGAAGGATTTCCCTTTACTACAGAATAATACAAGCGGGGAGCCTATGGGTAGTACCAGAGCCCAAAGCACACATGCAGAGAGACGCCCGAAGCAAGATAATGTATTACATAATTTGACAGGTGAGTGTATGCAGCTGCTGAACACATGAAATCTGCTGGGACTTGTATCAGAGGCCTCACTTCAATATTATGACACTATTACAATTATGAAGACATTTATTTATTATTAGTTAAAGGTGAGCAATGTTGCCACTATGAAAAGGTGATGATAAAATGAAAAACAAACCCAGTGGAATTATTGTATGTAAGGTGGCTGAGTGCAATATTCTCTCAAAAAGCTTGAGCTTCATGCTACCAATGCCCCCTACTGGTGGGACAGGATGCCAATTTTCATCCCAGAGAATAGTTTAATAAAGAGATTGGCAACATCAGGAGGCAAATTTAGTACGTTAGTTATCTAAAGAATTATGGGTAGGCTACGAACATATGTGAAATAACCAGTGTTTATTTTTCACTCCTTCAGACAATCAGCTCCTGTGTGAAAGCCTCAAATATCTTGATGAATGTAAATACAAAATCCGTCCTTTGAAGAAGAAGTTTGATCTGCAGAACAACAAATCAAAGACTGCATACCACTGTGACTGCACCAGCCGGTAACTTAACAGCATTTCTGAACTTTATGTTTGAGTGATTCACAATCATAAAAAATATAAGCATGGGTTACTACGAAACAATTGGTGTAATTTAACAACATTTCAAACTTTGCATCTTGGGGCTTGCTTTGTGTTTTCTCATGTATTTTCAGCATGATATTCTTAATCCTGGAAACAGCTTAACACAGTTCATTGAGGCCAAATAAATACAAAGGCGTACACAGCTTTTGGACCTAACTAACCCAAAAGCTATTTTCCCAATAATCCATTATGACTGTGTTTGGCATTCCTAAACTACTTCAAGGTTTGACCTGCAGATTGCAGTGAGACGATGAACAAGGCCTTTTTTTCCTTCTTTTTGTTAAGAGAAAATTGTTAAGGCTCTTATCGTTGGCGCCCTTGAAAGTAAAGCTGTCTCCAGCAGTGTCCACAGTCAATACAATAATAGGGGGAGAATAGTTTGATAATAAACTCAAGGTGTGTTTGTCAAAACTATGACAACATGACCAAGTTTATGTAATAGCTCAAATGTTTGTGGTAAAAGACACACAGGTGTTATGTTGTGTATTTTATCATTTCTGGATATCTCAAGAAAGAGACTGGAGACAGGAGCATAAGATTTCGGCTTTGTTCAATTAGGTGTCCGAGTATAGGCCACAACAGTGTGACAGGGAACCAGCATGCATTAAAAACCTTTTTCACAGCAGCTATTTTGACAGGTCACAGCAGGAGAAGCACAGGCGTAATTAAATATAACAAAGACAGCTGCACACCATCTAGTTCTGCTGGTTTTGGTGCCCTTTAATTTAGCATGCTAGATCAACGTCTTACTGAAACCCTTACAGTAAATGAACAGAGCCATCTTTAAAGTAATTAGTTACACCTGTGTATTTAGTTCAACAGATATCTAAAAATATATGCGGTGAAAAAGGCACAACAAGGACCCTCAGACAGAATTCATCCTCTATTGAAGTCATTCATTACCTTGATTTTTATTTTATATTTCATTTCTGCTGTAAAAGCCTTGTGTTTTTTTAATGATAGCAGGTTGCACGTTTTTGTGTCATGTTTATATTTAATTATGTATAGGGACTCCGACTGCTGATTTGAACACTTAGGTTACAGCAGCATATACTGTAAGACTGTTATGTCTCATTGTTAAAAGGCAGGAGGAAGGCCTGCCCCCACAGGCAGCTTTCTTTCTCTTTGTCTGTTTCTGCTTCTGAGTGACTCACAAATGCATATTGCATACATCACACTCTTGTGTTTTATTCCTGCCTTTTTGCCCACTTTATTCCTCTACGTGAGGTTGTAAAATGTCCTCTTCTTTGTCCTATTTTCAGCTTGGCTGTTCAGATTGAAAGCTTCGAGCAACCCAGTATTCTCCCCACACTACTGATGGATTTCGTCTCTCAATACTGCTTTAAACTGCCAAAGGAGAAAAAATGCCACCGCAGAAACAGGTTTTAAGCTCAGATAAGCTTATTAATGCAAATCTTAGACAACCTTTGGTAACAGCAGTGCAAGTATCCTGTCTAATGTGTAAACTAGGTTTCCTTTATAACAGATTATCATGTTGGGTCTGGTTCTGACAGTTTTCATATGTTTCTTTTTTAGATGTTCTGGAGGCTTCAGTAAAGCCTCTGACCTACTTCAAGCAGTTGAGATGATGGAGGAAAAAGACACGGCTGGGGTGCGAAATTCAGGCAGTGACAGAAGAAGAGGGATTCCTGTTCGTCTCTATAAGCGATGCCTCAGGCTACAAAGAGAAGCCGATGTTATGGTGCAGCTCACACGGCTTTAAACTAAGTGCATATTTGCAGCAACATTGAATTTGGTAAGCTACACATGTCATGCGTTATTTTTTATGTTTCTTTCTGATGGTGTAGTGTAATATTTGTAAAATATTTGTAAATATGCCACTGATTTAAATGTAATATATTTATAAAGCACTGTAAAAAAAAATTGCAATCTTTCAGGTTGTGCATTGAAAATGTAATAAAATCATGTATTTTTGTATTGTGTTTGAATTTAGTAATTGATATTAAAGCATATTTAAAGGGATTTCACAATAAGTCATATTGTAGCACCTTATTATCTGCACTGCAATTTAATTAAGTAAGGAGAGTAACAAGATCTACTCCAGTCTGCTTTCCATAACAACCAGTCAGTAATAATAATCCTATGACACAAGTCCAACAACACATTTTACATCAGAAATGAATTGTTAATAAACATTGCAGTGTGATCTAGACCTACCTTTCATTATCTGATCTCTAAATGTGTTGTGAAGGCTACAACTGTTCAATGTGCAATTTATTGCCATTTCATGAATTCCAGCTCTTACAATGTGTTGCATCAGTTTTTTAGGTATTCACTTTTTGGGTATGTGAAACCGAAATTATTGTTATTTCAAATGAATTCAAAGATCCATTCCTGTGCTACTATACAATCGTACCCAAAAATGTCACAAGGTTTTTGGATTTAGGGTCACCAATTTTGTGTTTATTTTTGTCATGGGCTCTATACAAATCTTATAATTTTATATTCTTAATTAAGACTTATTTTTATTTACCTATTTTGCTTTGCTTTTTATTGAACAATGTTTAATTTTGATAATAGCCAAGTAGGTTAGACACAGTGACCATTAACCTTAGGCGACCTCTAAACCTTTGAGAGCACTGACAACCCAAAAACGTGGTTTATTGGCATTGAAGAAACAGTACATTACATCTCACACAGCTACATGTTAAGAATGATATACACACTAGTTAATTGAAAGACTTGTTAATATTGGACTCTTATGTTCAGTACAGCAAGAAATACAGGTCAAATAAGACTCCATTCATATATTTTCTTTGCCTGATTAGAACTTCTTTGATGGCACCCAGATGATAGTTGACATCCACCTAGATCCACACATACATGCATTTTTTAAGCATTTGGACTACCTATGTTGTGAATGTATTATCTTGATAATTTACACCTATTGCACATCTGTCCGTGCTGGGAGAGGGATCCCTCCTCTGTTGCTCTCCCCAAAGTTTCTTCCATTTTCCCCCCATTAACTGTGGGGTTTCTTAGGGGGTTTTTCCTTTTACAATGTGATGGTCTAAGGACAGAGGGTGTCATATTTGCATTCTGTATAAACTGTAAAGCCGCCTGGAACAAATGTAAAATGTGTGAAACTGAGATATATAAATAAACTTTGGTTGATTGATAATTGCCCTGTAGTATAATTATTACTGTATTAGGTTGTGATGTTAGACACCAACATTAACTCATTAATTTTTGACAGCTTTTATTTTGGCCCGCGGTGCATGCTGGGAGCAGCTAGTTGGCCTTGGAAACATGGCGTCGCACTGACAGCTGGGAGACTCTCATTATCTTCTCCAGCCACTGACACAGCGCCCGGGCCGCTAGCGGGGCTGACTTCGTTCACCGTTTACCTGTTAAAAAAAGAGCTTGCTACAAATGCAGTATACCACCTGTAAAAGACTGTCGTTTTAACGTTGCGGCGCAATAACGGATTTAGCACTGGTGTCACGCCCACCCTGCTCGATAACGTTATAACGAAAGCGTACGGTAAGTTAGCATCAGCTATTAGCCGCCGTTAGCTCGACACGACCACCCGTGTTATGCGAAGAGGAGAGTCTTCTAACTGCCTGTTTCTGCTCGGCTTAGCTCCGTTAGCCTAGCCCAACCGTAACGCTCTGCCCCGTCTAACACCATCGTCAGTAGCGACAGTTATGTTATTGTAGCTCGCTAGCAGGCTAACTAGGGCGTTTTCTGTCATTCTGTCACTGCATTTTTAATGTTCGACCCCTTTGGCATCACTGTCGGAGGAGAGAGCGATGGGCTCCGGGGCTGTGGACTCGTCCCAGTGGCTTTCGGTGAAGGAGGAGACTATTTTCCTCCACGACGGACTCATTCGGGTCACAGATCTGGCCGAGCTGCCCAGTGAAATTGGAGTGTCGGAACAGGGGGACACCGAGCAAGAGGTGGGTTAAAGCCATCTCACACACACACTCACTCACTCAAATGTTTATATAGATAGAAACACACACTCATAGCTATGATAATGGTGTATTTTTAAAATTGTATTAATGTGTTTTAACTGTCAGCTGCAACACACCCTCGGTGGAAACGGTAGAGCTAACGTTAGCAAGTTTACTGCCTTGCATGTTATTGACCCACTGTCAAGGAAGCGACCGTTGTCAAATCACTTCCTGTCATCTCTTCCAAAATAGAAGCTCTGCACTGCACACCGACCTGTAACCTAATCACACAAGCAGCCACATGTGTAGTTGATACAAACTATACATCAGAGGTGCAGTAAGTCGTAAGAGTGTAGGAATACTCTGTTACAAGTAAAAGTCCTGCAATCAAAATGTTACTCAAGTAAAGTACAAAAGTACTAGCATCAGAATATACTGAAAGTACCTGTTATGCATATTGGCCCAATCAGAATAATATAAATTGTTTTGTTTTGATTATAATTACTGGCGCATTTAAGTGTTATGAAAGCTGGTAAAGGTGCAGCTAATTGTATTTACTTTGTGTGCTGCAGGGTAGCTTGTGAAGTTTACTCCAGGTATACATAAAGTCGTATTTCAGTGTTGCTTATATTCATCATTATCATTATCATCATTATCATCATCATCATCATCATCATCATCATCATCATTATTAATCAAATTCTGCAAAATAACTAAAGATACTAAATAAATGTAGTGGAATAAATGTACACGATCTACCTCTGAATTGTAATGGGGTAGAAGTACAAGGTAGCAAATAACTGAAGTACTCAACTAAAGTACAAGTCCCTCAACATTTTACTTAAATACACTTCTTGAGTAAATATACTTTACACTACTGCTATACATTCATGTAGTTTCTTCTAATGGCACATGCAAGTTATTAATATTGATTTGATCTGCTATGTAATTTTGTTGTCATATAACTGCATATGCATTGCCGCATGCACTGCATTTGCTCTGGTGTCAAGTTGCACAGTTTAAACTTTATTAGTAGTGGCAGTGCAGCAGTATACTTAGGCAGGCAACTTCTCAGATTGCACCAGACAGTGAGCATCTCTTTGGTTGAACAAATGGGAGAGTTCAGACCACTTTCTTCTGTCACAACATGTTATGTAGGCCTATGTAGCTGATAACCCACACACTTAAATGATTTAAGTTAACATGTCTCTCCTGGTGATCAAACTGTTATGATTACTCAAGTGTAGCATACTTTATAGTGACCATAACATGATTATTGACTGATGCAATGTGTTCTTGTTCTCTAAACAAAAATAAGCCACGTTATGTCAGATCTGACGCTAGAAAAGCACTACTATTTTCTATGTGGCCTTGATTTCTTTCTCCCACTTTTGTTATTTTCTGAATGTATCAAGTCTTAAATGTGTGTGCCTTGGCAGAATGTAGTTTAATTCCAGTGTTAATGTTAAATGTAGTGCAGTAGATGTTTATTATTTGAGACTGTAGGCTTTTATTTTGAAGGCAACACCTCTGAATGCATGGGTCTATGTTGTTGCATAGCAGAGACTTTACAGTGATGCTGATGGAAACTTCGAGCTAACATTGTTACATCCCTGATATTCCGGTGCCCTACCATGTCATAAAGCTTTATCTAGTAGTATCCACCAGTGTGGGTACATTTGCCGCAGTAATCGGGTCACATGACCATGTGCTGGGGTCTAATGCCTGGTCGTGGTGGATAATGATGTGGCTAACAGTGATGGTCAACCACTTAAATCAATGATGCCTTATGTTAGCTTTTGCTTTTATGTTTTGCCATTTATCTTAGCATTAATATTATATAGTTTTGGTTCATTTATTTAACTTTACTTTGTCACTTAAGGGCGAAAGATGTTGTTACTATTCCAATATTTTGAATCGATTACATACAAAAAGGGTATTTTATGTGAATTCCTGTTTTAGATGCACAAATGCAGTCTCTGCAATAATATCATTATTTTGTTAACATATGCTACGATAAAAAACCACTTCATCTCAAAAGTCAAGCTCATAAGATGGGACAAGTGGCATGTTCCACACTTTAGATTGGGAAGTGTTATTTTTAGGTGTATGTATGCCGAGATATGTGGAAGGCTTTTTGTGCTTATCCAAAGACATTGCCTGCTTGAGTTAATTTTAACAATATATAGTGTGGTGCATTCAACTGTTAGTTACGCTGATGGTGTAACCTCTTTTATCCTTACCTACAGTATTAGCCAAGTTTGTAACTGGAGCTACAAATGACCGGTTTGTTATTTGCCCATCTTCAATCCAATTCACATTTTAAGATGTATTAGTAACACAACCGGCAATTTATTAAGTTATCAGCTTTAGTAAAAATTGTGTTGGAAACATAACAGCTGCAGATGGCTACTTTACAATTCAGCCATTAACCACATGCTGTTCTGATATAAGTACATATGTTCAGTCAGCAGCTCCAACAGATGACAAACCACTGGTTAATTAATGAATGTGAATGGGCAGGTTTGAACCCCTCACCCTTTGTTTGTTTCTTGTTTTTCAACTTATATATTTATTTGGGGGCTAAAACGTCAAACAAATAAGGATAATGTCCCCAATATCCTTCAGTAAATTCAACAGAAACAGAGCAGAAACAGTACATGTACGTGGTTGAGACTCAATAGGTTTGCATTTGAATTAAAGCTCTTACACGTATATAAAGCTAAAGTAAACGTCTTCACATTTTATAAAGCAAACCTTTTAAAGAACAGAGTAGCCATGTCTGTTGTCAACATCCTTTGTCGGGTAGGTAGTAGCTCAAAACAAGACATAGGTCTCTCCACTTCTGATTCCCTACATCTCTTCCTTCTTCCTATCGTAGGTGTTTTGATGCTGACTATTTTTATCGGCATGCA